TTCCTCTTGGCAGATAAGTTGTACAGTCAAAAGATCAGAATCAGAATCAGAATCAGAAAGGGTTTTATTGCCAGATGTTGAGCAGGTTTACAACATTAGGAAATTGCTGCGGTGCTTCAGTGCAAACATACTGTCATAAAAATATAAAAATAAGAATAAGAATTAAAAGTGCTAAGTGGATAGATATATACATGATATATACATGAGTGCAGGTGGTGATCAGTGCCAAACATGGAATGATGCAGTGAACACAGCGTAGGGTCATGTGTTAGTGGTGGGAACAGTCATATGGTTATTGTTCATGTGTCCGACAGCAGAGGGGAAGAAACTGTTCTTATGGCGAGAGGTTCTGGTGCGAATGGACCGGAGCCTCCTGCCTGAGGGGAGCAGGTCAAACAGACTGTGTCCAGGGTGAGAAGGGTCAGCTGAGATCCGAGCTGCACGCCGCAGTGTCCTGGAGGTGTACAGGTCCTGCAGAGATGGGAGTCTGCAGCCAATCACCTTCTCAGCAGAGCGCACAACACGCTGCAGTCTCTGTTTGTCCCTGATAGTGGCTCCAGCGTACCACACGGTGATGGAGGAGGTGAGGATGGACTCGATGATTGCAGTGTAGAATTGCATCATCGTCCGTGTTGGCAGGTTGAATTTCTTCAGCTGCCTCAGGAAGTACATCCTCTGCTGGGCTTTCTTAATGACGGAGGTGATGGTGGGCTCCCACTTCAGGTCCTGGGTGATGGTGGTACCCAGGAAGCGGAACGAGTCCACAGAGGTGATGGGGGTGTCAGTCAGGATGATGGGGGGGAGTGGAGCTGTGTGCTTCCTGAAGTCCACAATAATCTCCACTGTCTTCTGGGCATTCAGCACCAGGTTGTTGTGGCTGCACCAGGACACCAGACGTTCAACCTCCCTCCTGTAGGCAGACTCATCCCAGTCCGAATTTCAACTCTCCATTTGGCAGATTCTGCTTTCTCAGAATGCCATATGGAATCAACTCAGCCAGTGAGGTGTTCCAGAGTGCAGTAGAGCAGATCTTTGCTGGATACTCCTGTGCTGTCATCGTTGACGACATAATCACTGGTGGAAGAGATATGAAAGAGCATTAACAGAATCTCAGAATGGTACTCAACCGTGCGAGGGAAGTCAAACTGCGACTTAACCCCCTAAAGTGCAAATCCTACTCAAAGAAGTCTGTTATATTGGACGTGTTTTCACAGGCAAAGGCTTAAAGCCTGACCAGCAAAGACCAAAGCAATTAATGAGATGCCCACACATTAGAAAACGTCATACCTCCAAATCTAAACTGATCATCAGCCATAGTCACAATCCTAAACAAGCCCATACAGTCAGCTCCAGCCAGACTGCAGCGTATGATGCTGAGACTGCAAAGGTACAACTTCCAGATGGTGTACAAAAAAGGCTTGTAGATGGCTGAACAGTCCTCTCAGCTGGCTGGCTGTTCTTACATTAGATGATCTGGGAGAGTTTGCAAGCCAAAACTCCACGTATGAACACTAAGGCGTAGAAGATGGACTGTTTAAAAATGCTATTGCTATTCGTGGAAACTACATGTAACTTGATGATGACAAAGTGAAATGCTGATTATGTTCTTACCAGTGAAAGAGTTTCAGGTTTGAAGTGAATGATTATTTTCAAGCTATAATGCTATAAACTAGAATCTATTGTTAATGCATTATGCTGAAGATGTCGTTAGTCATACAGTCCTAAGCTACAGAAAGAACATCTCACCAGTGTTATTGTAAAACGGGGGTTTCCCATATCTGTTCGAAGCAAATAGTGCACTGCGCATGCACCAGTAAAATGTCTAAGACAGGACTGTGCCGGGTCCCCAGCCCTGAGTCAAGCTGTTTGCATGTAATGTCTCCTCAGTTACAGTAAATGCTTACAAAGAATCACGAATCCAGCGTCTTTACTAAAGATCAAACAGTTAGAATAACAATACTAAGAATCGGTCAAATATAATGATGCGGTGAATTCACTGACTTTATAAAAGCCCAGAACATTCTTTAGTGAAATTACTTAATACAATAATTTAAAAACTGTATTGTATTGTGAAAGCACCAGACTTCCGGTTCAATCCGAAAGTAAAGGTGGATTCATTGTGGGAAGGGCGATAAACTAGTGCAAGGTGAAGGAGGTCTGTTCATCTGTTTTCTTCCTCTCGGTCACTTTAATCTGGTTCTTCGGTCTGTCAGATTAAACTGGAGTCGTCCAGGAGGATGAGGATAACCGTGGTGCTTGTCTCCCTCCTGCTCGGTAACATCACCTTTATTCCTCTTTCTGTTTCTGTCAGTTTGATCAGTCAACAGTTGAAATACTCACTTGGCGCACACACGCACCGAGTGTGGCGATTCTTCACGTCCAGTTCACGTTATTTCACCACAGTAACAACTTAAGATTACTCAGATATAACTTGTTAAAATGCCAGTATGAAGTTAAGAACATGAAGTCGTCTGTGTGAGCATCTGTATCAGTTCTTAATCGCTGCTTTCGGCTCCCTCCCGTGTGCGTGTTTTCTTACGTTTTTCATTCTTTCCTCATTACCTCTCTGTCTCTCTGTCATCCCTCTCCCTCACTTACAGTTGGGTAAATATTTAAATTCCACCGCTTTTCACAGAGATATCAACATTGGTATAACTGATAGCTCAGGTGGAAGCAGGACTGCTCTGCGTTCAAATATGGGTTGATTACTTGCGCAGAGTGCAGAAGAACAAAACATGATCTGCGTCGGACACATCCGCATTACACAGTAACTGTGTCATTTGCGTAAATACGCACATGCCAATGTACTGGTATTGTGCAGTGTCATACTGGGTATTTATTAAAGTCGGTAGCCTATTAAAATCCTGCCAGTCCACTGCTTGACTGCGTGCATGCATTTTGTACTGGGTTTCCCCTGCCGCTGTGAAACTGGCGACCCCAGGTCATCAATAAGCATCAATGCTGTTGAAACCTGCCTACTGAATTGTACTTTGCTTCTCTTACTTGACAGATGATGATGATTTACATGCAGTGACACATTTATTAGGCTACTTGAAAATATATTTCATTAAATTACAATGCATGTGGAACATTATGATATTAGGCAGAAGACTTGGTCCTGAACAGACTGTGTTCTCTATATGTCAGTATAAAGCATAGCATTAGTTTATTAATGTTTATTAAATTAATTGTATTTATATTTATAATCAATAACTAACATTTCTGTTCATCTAAAGGTCGCAAAAGAAAATGCATGAACATCAGAGAATCGCTGTATATTGACTAACAGTACTTACTGTCATGTCACGCTGCGGCTCTGAGGCAGGAAATTTCCTTATTTTCTTGATTTACACACCTGTGCTCCTCCTGCATGTTTTTACACGTGCTGACAGAGTTTTCACACAGTGTGTATACCTCTGAGGATTTAAACTATAGTTATATTGAATAAGTGACATTGTCATGGTCCTCCATCTCTGAGTTATGGACTTAAGAGTTCTCTTTGTTGTTGACTAATTCCTGCTTGATTCATAGTTAGTATATTGTTATGTTTTTTCAGTTTTGTTTTTAGTAGATATTTTCTAGCTTATTTCTATAGGTTCTGTCTTAGTTTTGTAATCTAGTTTTGCAATTCTGGTTCAGTTCAGCTGTGTCTACTTTTCCACTTGTTTTTTAAACATTAAAATAATTCATTTAAATTCTGTCCTATTTATATACCACTAGTTCAGAACAACAGTCACGTCAAGGAGCTTAATATTGTAAAGAACCTACAGTATTAGAATCAAAACCTCAACAGTCAGATGATCCCCTATGACCAGCACTTGGTGACTGTGTGAAGGAAGATAAACAACAACAAAAAAGGGAGAGAAAAGACAAGGGTAATGACATCCTGTAGTGGTGTATAAATGCACGGGGAATGAAAATAATGGGAAAGGAGGAAAAATGCATCATGGGAAGCCTCCAGCAGCCTGACCTCATAACTAAGGAATGAGTCAGTGTCACCTGATCCACCCCTAACTATGACAAAACTCAGATCTGCTTTCAGAAACTGATCTCCAGTCTGTTTTTTAGCCTCAGGAACTCAGGACAGAAGTTCACCCACTACCGTTTTCGTTTTGTAGTTTCTTAAATTTCAAAATAGAAACAGGAAAGCTGGACTTTCTTTTCATGTGTTTGCACAATTGAGCTACAGATAATTCTACACCGGCTCACATTGTTTGTTTAGTATGGAACTCAGATTGATTTAACCTCTTTCTGCGTCCTCAGTTTCCCAGTATGCCTCAGGAGTCGAGGTGTATGAGGGGGAGGAGTCTGTCCTTCTGCTCTGCCAGCTTCCCGTTCCAGCTGAAGAGGGTGTAGTTGTGTGGGGACGCGATGACCTGAATCCTTCAATCATCCATGTTCGCACAGAGGAAGGTGATTATCTTACAGAGCAAAATAAACAATACGTCAACAGAACATCCATTCAAAAGGACGCCCTGAAGACCGGAGACCTCAGCCTCACTCTGAGAAAACCTACATTCTCTGACAGTGGACTCTACACCTGCACCGTACGCAAGGTTGGAGAAAAACAGAACCAGACTGAAGTGCAACTAAAGGTCAAAGGTCAGTGCTGTAGATTCCCCTTAGAGAGTGACCAGAGAGAAAAGTGACCATTCAACATTACAAAGATGAAAGGCTTTCAGGAACAGTCAACATAACCAGAGAAGATCAAAGGCTACGTTCACACTGCAGGTCTTAATGCTCAATTCCAATTTTTTGATCAAATCTGATTTTTTTGTCTGGTTGTTTACACTACAAATAAAATGTGACAGCAAACGCGCTCTAGTGTGAACCTCAAAGCGGCCTGCATGCGCAAAAGAAGACGTCACACACAACGCGCTCTGTTTAGACCCAGACCAAACAGTATTGTTTGACTGATGGCCCTTAATATAAAGACTTGTTTCGGACTTTACGTTTCCCAATTTTGCTTTAAGTTATAAAGTTATTTTGTTATTTACATATGGCCTAATAATGATCCTTATTGCTGTTTTAGAGAGGAGCGGTGCTTCAAAGGATAGTTGCAGATTTCTGTCAGAATCTGCAGATTATACAGTACAAATAAAATGTTCACGTTTCTCCAACGTTGTCTTCCCAACAGTTTCACTACATCTACACTGGATGGCCAGGAAGCGTTCACGATGTCTTCTCCGGCGCTGATAATTGGCGTCTGTCTTGTGTCAGTGACGTAAAAGACGGATTTAATGCGACATGACCGTTCAAACAGCAGTCGCTTTCTAAAACATCAGATATGTATCGGATTCAGTACCACATACGAAAGTGACCCAGATCGGATTTGAAAATATCGGATTTGTGCCGTTCACACTGTCATACCATGATCGGATATGGGTCGCATAGGGTCAAAAAAGTCTGATTTGATGCGCTTTCGCCTGCAGTGTGAACGTAGCCAAGGTCAGACTTCTGTTTAAAAAGGATAAACCAACATATAACTGTGATTTCATCAGCAGAAATCATTATAAAAACAATCAAAATAAGATTTAAAAATCTTAAATCCATTTGAAGCAGAGGTCATACTACAATTCATTTCAATTAGCATTGTTATTATCAGTGAATTCATATTAATTATTAATGAATTCTTCAAAACATTCAGCATCATGTTCAGGTTGTGTTTGTGTTCATTACAGAGCGTCCTCCTCCTCCTCCAATCTGGCCCAAAGTTCTCCCAGCGGTCCTGGTTCCGGTGCTTGTCCTGGCTATTGGCATTAGTGTTTTCATGTGTCTTGTATATCAAAGGATGAAGAAAACAGCAGGTGGGTGTAGCAGTGTGTGAGTGGGTGGGTGGCCCTTTATAGATCACCATAGTAACAAATGCTGCATACCTGGCCTGCTCCTAAAGGAGCGGTGCTTACAGTTTCAGTTTTACATTTGATGTCACTGAGCAAAGTTTCTACAGAAGCCCCAACTCGTTAGGATGCCTGGGTCGTTGACCCAGAGGTTTGAATTTATTATATTATTTATCATTTCTAGTCTTTGGTTTCTTTGTCTGTGTTCTGTCTTATGGTTTACGTCTCGGTTCCCTCTGTTGCAGTGCCTGCGTGTGAGTCTGTGTCTTTAGTTCAGTCTGTGTTGTTTCCTGTTTTATTTTGAAGGTCCATGTCTGATGTTAATGTATCTGGTTTTGCTTCCCCTGTTTCGTTAGGCCTGATTTGCCCCAGCTGTGTTTCCCTCCTGTTACTCATTCCCTGATTGCTCCCTCTGTGTATTTAAGCCCTGTGTTTCAGTTTGTCTGTGTCGTGATCTACCGGTTTCTATGCTGTGTGTTCTGTCTGCTTGTCTGAGTTTATTTGGAGTCTGAGTTTTGTTACCTTTTTTGAGTTCAGCATTAAAGCTGTTTTTGAGTTTACATTGTGCCTCCGAGCGTCTGCACTTTGGGTCCACCATTCCTGCCTGCACACAGCCGTTCCATAACACAACTACTACATGTTCTGACTGGATATAAAAAACAAGATAACATTTTTTCTATTTTCCCCAGAAATCTGTTTGGAAAATTATTATTGATAACTTGACAGAGTAAACCTATAACACACCTGTCTCTGTTGGACAGGTGTGTTATAAAAATGTGTGGTATGAATCTGTATCTGTCCTTCTGGCAGCAGAGCTGAATCAGCCTGAGCAGCATTCCTTCTGCCTGTCCAGCAGTGGTGTGTGGTGACACTTATAGGAAGACTGCCAGAAATGATGCTTTCTGCACTTCTTCTTGGCTGGAGAATTGTAAAATATTATTACCTTTATAGTTGTCATGTAATTATTTATTTAATTTTGATTTATTTAAAACCATTTCTAACAATAAAACACCATGAAAACACCCCAATACACATAAAATTGTATAAAAAGGACATCAATTATCAAAAGTAAATGTACTATGGCTTAAACTCTGTACATCATGGAAATAAGTGATTCCTAATAGATGTTTTTTTGAAAGATGGAGCCTGCATCTGTTCAACTTACCAGTTTTATTAAACCGTGTTGCCGAGATGGTAACAGAGAAGTGAAAGAGCCAAACGCAGGTTGCCTCAAACACTTCTCCTCCATCAGGCTCCCCGTAAAGACCCAAAACATGTGTGTGCAATCAACCAGAAAAAAGCTACTGACCTCTCAGTGTCATTAAATCACATTTCTCTCAACGAAGACCCCCAATGCAGGATTTAAACCTCATGTCAAAAGAACAAATAGAAAGGTATTGTAACCTTTATTAAAGTCAAATTCAAAGAGCATTGAAATCCAAAAAGCCAAAAGAAGTCCAAAAGAACACAAGGGTAAAAAAAACAATGAACAAAACAAGGATTAGAAACCCGAGGAGGACAATACAGAAACTCTGACAAAAGACAAAGGTATGCTGGAGCTATGTCTACATACAGATACAATGAGGACTAAATAGGGTAGAGTGGAAACACCTGAGTGGAGTTTGTATATTCTTGTTGTGCTATCTGAGTTCTCTGTGTGGATATTCCTGGCATCTCAAACCTGCCAAATGAAAAATTAAAGGAAACCCCTTGTGAGTGAGAGAATATAAATAAGTAGCCTCATCTCATTTCTAATGTTTTTAAATCAGTTTTAATGTCTTGTGCAGTTTCCTCTTTCTATACCTCTGTGAAACCTCTCAATTGTCTTTTGTCTGAATAGTTGAACACAAAATAACTTGACTTAATGGCAATTATTCCTCAAACTGATTTTTTAAAACACTTTGAACACTGATTTTTGTCTCAACTATACTTCAAATGTTTGTTTTTAATGTGATTTACAGTTTCTGTTTGGCACAGCTCATGTTCTGCTCTGTTCCCTCAGTCTGCCAGCTCAAAGTTGTTGATGTGACAGAGGGAGCAGAGTCTGTCCTGCTACCCTTCATATCCAAAAAACTGAAGAATCAGGAGACCGCCAAAGTGGAGTGGAAACATATCCAAGAAGACGAAATGAAGGTCGTGTATGAGAAGGATCGGAAAAGTCAAGACGTACCTGACACAGGCCCCGTAAAGATGAAGAAAAATCCATGGATTACAGGAAACGCCAGCCTAACTTTGTCAGATCCTCACTCTGAAGATGGAGGTGTTTACATATGCACCATGTATGACACGCATGGAAAGGCCCTGAAACAGAAAGTAGTGGCACTCTGGGTCAAAGGTCAGTATTAGAGGATGTTAGCTTGAAAGATCCTGATGATGTCTTAGGGTACGTTCACACTGCAGGTCTTAATGCTCAATTCCGATTTTTTGATCAAATCGGATTTTTTTTGTCAGGTTGTTCACACTACAAATAAAATGTGACAGCAAACACGCTGCTGTGTGAACCCTCAAAGCGGCCCTTTGAGGACGTCACACACAACGCGCTCTGTTTAGACCCAGACCAAACAGTATTGTTTGACTGATGGCCCTTAATATAAAGACTTGTTTCGGACTTTACGTTTCCCAATTTTGCTTTAAGTTATTTTGTTATTTACATATGGCCTAATAATTATCCTTATTGCTGTTTTAGAGAGGAGCGGTGCTTCAAAGGATAGTTGCAGATTTCTGTCAGAATCTGCAGATTATACAGTACAAATAAAATGTTCACGTTGTCTTCCCAACAGTTTCACTAACATCTACACTGGATGGCCAGGAAGCGTTCGCGATGTCTTCTCGGGCGCTTCTCCGGCGCTGATAATGTCTGTCTTGTGTCAGTGACGTAAAAGACGGATTTAATGCGACATGACCATTCAAACAGCAGTCGCTTTCTAAAACATCGGATATGTATCGGATTCAGTACCACATACGAAAGTGACCCAGATCGGATTTGTGCCGTTCACACTGTCATACCATGATCGGATACGGGTCGCATAGGGTCAAAAAAGTCAGATTTGATGCGCTTTCGCCTGCAGTGTGAACGTAGCCTTAGTGTGTTAACTTGCTTTGTTTCAAAGAAACATCTGCAGTCACATTTTAGGATATTATTACATTGTCTGTGAAGGTCTCGCTTCACATAAGTGACAGCAGTTGTGAGCTGTGTTGATGCAACAGGCAGTTACATTTGTAGGGAAGAGCACATCAGGTTACAAAATGGGTTACCTCATAGCATTTCAGAATGGTTTGCAGTTGCAATTGTGCAGATTTCCCACTGAAGCATTAATCTCCAGTAATAGTCAAGAAGTGGGAAGAGGTTTTTTTTTTGCAGATGAAATCATAGAGAATAAAACTACAGTCCTAAGTAATAACTATATTTAGTACAAAGTAATTGTTTTCAGCAAAGACATTTTCAGGAAACAGGAAAAACAGCTCTGAATGTGAGTGTCTATTATCCTCTGTCCTTCATACTAACTACACACAGTCACGTGATCTTGGTCTTGGTCAGGACTCTGATCTGACCTGATGCTGTGTTTCTTCTTTACAGAGGGCTGGCTGAAAACCATCAGAAGCTTCTTCCCGTGTGCCAGACAGAACAGACAGAATTATGTCATCTGAATGAAAAGGCAAAGGTGAATCTGTTCACTGTTCAGTCAATGTGATTCATCTCTTGATGAAGCTTTTCCAAATGAAACTCACAGTAATAAGGTCATTACCAAATGAAAAGTCACATTGACAAAGATGTAAAACTACTGTGTGTTTGTGAGCTCTCAAATGTCTGTTTCAGTCAGTTTGAACACTTGACACATGCACTCAGCACAACCTGAACTAATATTCAGATCGTCTGTGCACACTTTAAACTAAAGTTCTGCATAGAGAGGTGAGAGCAGGAAAGTGTTTTTTTAGTACATTTTTAATAAAATTTAAGATTTATTTCATTTATTTAGGAATAAAATAGAAAAATTCTAAAAATGTTAGCTATCTAACATTTACAAAGGTAAACAGTTACTTTGATGACAGATGTCTGTACTAATTGATACTGTAGTATTTAACTATTTTAACTTTGATTTCAATTTACTGAAGGTTACCTGTGGGGTTCAACAGGGTTCAGTGCTGGACCCCAAACAGTTTATACTGGACATGCATGAATCGTATCTAAATTACTAAAACTTTATTTGCTGTAATGTATCATCAGTTACAGTCATTTATTTTTCTCTGGGAAAAGTTTAGAACAGTGCCTGAATGCAGTGGAGAAAAATGTTGCGACAGATACATCATCACTAAATGACAGCAAAATAAAATGTATAATAATTAGTAACTAGTCAAAAGTAGCTGTTATAAATTATTAAGAGTGTGTACCACTATGTGAGTTTTAAAAACATGGTGCTAAAAAATATGAAAGTGAATCAAAACTTTCATTGTTTATAAAAAAAAGAATATTTTTGTGTGTGTTTATTTCTGTATGTTTATTGTTATTTATTCTTTCAAAATTATTTTACTTTTTTTTTTATTATGTTTTCCTTTGGTCTTAGTTTCGTTTATTTAGAATATACTGCATGTGAAAAGTGTAGTTGGAACATGCTATAGCTTCAGCTTTCAGCTTTAAGACTAAAATCTCCAGTTCAGTTCATTTTTTGTCATTTATTTATTGTTATAGCATCTCTTGGTTGTTATGGACTGTTTAAAAATGCTATTGCTATTCGTGGAAACTACATGTAACTTGATGATGACAAAGTGAAATGCTGATTATGTTCTTACCAGTGAAAGAGTTTCAGGTTTGAAGTGAATGATTATTTTCAAGCTATAATGCTATAAACTAGAATCTATTGTTAATGCATTACGCTGAAGATGTCGTTAGTCATACAGTCCTAAGCTACAGAAAGAACATCTCACCAGTGTTATTGTAAAACGGGGGTTTCCCATATCTGTTCGAAGCAAATAGTGCACTGCGCATGCACCAGTAAAATGTCTAAGACAGGACTGTGCCGGGTCCCCAGCCCTGAGTCAAGCTGTTTGCATGTAATGTCTCCTCAGTTACAGTAAATGCTTACAAAGAATCACGAATCCAGCGTCTTTACTAAAGATCAAACAGTTAGAATAACAATACTAAGAATCGGTCAAATATAATGATGCGGTGAATTCACTGACTTTATAAAAGCCCAGAACATTCTTTAGTGAAATTACTTAATACAAAATTTAAAAACTGTATTGTATTGTGAAAGCACCAGACTTCCGGTTCAATCCGAAAGTAAAGGTGGATTCATTGTGGGAAGGGCGATAAACTAGTGCAAGGTGAAGGAGGTCTGTTCATCTGTTTTCTTCCTCTCGGTCACTTTAATCTGGTTCTTCGGTCTGTCAGATTAAACTGGAGTCGTCCAGGAGGATGAGGATAACCGTGGTGCTTCTCTCCCTCCTGCTCGGTAACATCACCTTTATTCCTCTTTCTGTTTCTGTCAGTTTGATCAGTCAACAGTTGAAATACTCACTTGGCGCACACACGCACCGAGTGTGGCGATTCTTCACGTCCAGTTCACGTTATTTCACCACAGTAACAACTTAAGATTACTCAGATATAACTTGTTAAAATGCCAGTATGAAGTTAAGAACATGAAGTCGTCTGTGTGAGCATCTGTATCAGTTCTTAATCGCTGCTTTCGGCTCCCTCCCGTGTGCGTGTTTTCTTACGTTTTTCATTCTTTCCTCATTACCTCTCTTGTCTCTCTGTCATCCCTCTCCCTCACTTACAGTTGGGTAAATATTTAAATTCCACCGCTTTTCACAGAGATATCAACACAGGTATAACTGATAGCTCAGGTGGAAGCA